GCTGGGGCATTGCCGGCGATCCTCTAACGCTTCATCACCCGCGTAGCCGTCTACCTCTATCAGAACAAGAGTGTAAGAACGCCTCGATTTTTCCCCTTTCATTTGTTTACGCTAGCGATGCTCTGACGCTTCATCACCCGCGTGGCCGTCTACCTCTACCAGACCAGAATTCTAAGAATGCATTGATTTTCCATTTCATTTGTTTATGCAGCTCCTATTCCTCCTCTATTTCCTCCGTCTTCCCGCTGTTGAGGCGGCCGGCAACAGAAGCATTGATCATGGCCTCGCCATCGGGGTTCGCGTTGCGGGGCGTGTTCGTTGTCGTCGGCACCATTTGGTACTGTCGCTGCCACTAGGGCACGACCAACGGGACGCCGAGCCCGAAAACCCAACTCCGGCAGCCACCATTTGGTATTGCCGCCGCCACTAGGACAAGGCCAACGTGGACGCCAAGCCCGAAAACCCAACTCCGGCCGCCGCCTCGGAGGAAATCATCATCATCAACCCGTTGGTAAATTACGCGCCTCCTTCGTCGACCCGTCTGCACTATTACACATCTGGGCTTGCTCCAAAGCTCTGAAACTGTTCGCCACCGCACCTTATCGATGGTGCGTGTGTTCGTGTGCGTGGAGGGGGTGACGACAGCTCTCGCGGACCCCTGGACGACCAGCGCGTGAAGGGGACGATGATGGAGGCGATCTCCTGCACCTCCGGCGACGCGGCGAGTAGAATAGGTTGGTTTTCTTCACGACTGAAGAAAATGAAAGGAAAGGAAAAACGACCAGTAGAATAGGTTAGTTTTCTTCACGACTGAAGAAAATGAAAGGAAAGGAAAAAGGTAAAAAAAATGGGGGCGTTGCGAGAATCGAACTCGCGACCTCTCGCACCCAAAGCGAGAATCATACCACTAGTCCAAACGCCCAACTCGATGCTTAGCTTCCTTAATCATCCTACTAATCCTTAGCTTAACTACTCACTTGACGACTCATTCCTACAGCGAGAGGTAAGCAAAGTTGGATCGACCCGTCCGTCCTCCCTTCCAGAACCTTCCCTCCTCCCCTCCCCTTCGATATCCCCCATGCCGGCGGCGACGGCGATATCGCCCTCTCAGGGAGCCTCCGCCGCCCGGCGCCCGACCAACCCCCTCCACCGCGCCGCCTCCTCCCCCTCCCCCTCCTGCTTCAAGCCCCCGCAGCCGAGGCGGCGGCCGCTGCCCCGAGGCGCCGCCTCCGCCTCCGCCGGACTCCCCGCCGCCCGCTGCAAGGCCACCGGGCCCTCCGCCGCCGACCACGGTACGTCAGATGCAAGACAGCGCAGATTATTAAGTCCTAGCTAAGAATTTCCCGTTCTTGCGTGTCGACGACACTCATGCCGCCTGCCGAATCATTTTCAGTATGGGATCTGTGCTACCAGTAGATAGGAACAGGAATAGCTTGCTGCCGGATTCACCAGCTTCTCGTGGGCAACGCTGGAATTTCACCCCTATGGCCCTATAAGCCTGAAAGAAACCATATGCTTGTGGAGGTGTGGTTCTTGTGCTATATCTGTCAATCCAGCAGTTAGCAGCCGCACCTCGCCTCTCGTCCAAACAAACGAATTAACGGGGCATACTCGTGTGCGGTCGGCGATCGAGTTTCACGCCATCCTGTTCCTATAGACACTCTGCACAAGGTCTTGGCTTTTGGGTTAATACATTGCTGCTCTAGTGCATTTTATTGGTACTGCATTTCACTGCATTTTGTATGGGAACAAGGTCTCGGTTCTGGAGTTATATTGCTGCTCTAGTACATTTCATTGGTAGTGCGCTTCACTGCATTTTATATAGGAAACAAGGTCTCAGTTCTGGAGTTTTATTGCAAGTGGAGTACTACTCCCTCCGTTCCTAAATAATTGTCTTTCTAGAGATTTCAACAAGTGACTACATACGGAAAATGAGTGAATCTACACGCTAAAACATGTCTACATACATCCGTATGTTGTAGTCTATTTGAGATGGCTAGAAAGACAATTATTTGGGAACGGAGGGAGTAGTATGTACTCCCTCAGTTCCTAAATATGAGACCTTTTAGAGATTCCACTATGGACTACATACGGAGCAAAATTTAGAGTGTAGATTCACTCATTTTGCTCCATATGTAGTCCATAGTGGAATCTCTAAAGGGTCTTGTATTGAGGAACAGAGGAAGTAACAGATAAGAAGGTCACGTTTCTATCCTCTGCTTGTAGTGTCACAGTGAACTGGCAGCCTGTTTTTTAACAGGGTAGTGTGCTGGTACATGCTGTACTTAGTCAAATCCTAGTGCAACAGAAGGCTGTAGAAGGCATTAGCTATTGCCCAGCTGGTGTTAGTTGAATTCATCGCTGCATCCTGATCCTATCTACACAAGGTCTCAGCTTTTTGGTTACAGTGCTGCTGTGTGCATTTTAATGGTAGTGCAATTTCACTGCGTTTTGTCCAAAGAAGGCCTCAGTTTTGGAGTTGTATTGCAACTGCGGCAATATGTCAGAGATGTAAAGCTCATGTTACCGCCCTCTGCTTGTAGTGTCATAGTGAACTAGTAAGTTTTCACACTATTAACTTCTACTTCTCGTGTAAACATACTAATCCTAGTGCAACAGAAACCTGCGGCAGGCCTTAGCTATTGTCGCTTATCTTTGATTGCTAGCTCCCATTTGATGGTATATGCATATCTAGAATCCAGAATTCTTGATCCGCATATGGCTAACTGCACCATGCACAAAACAGCGTACCTGCATGATTGCCCAGTTGGAGATTTTTCTTCTGAAATAAGAAACAAACAATCAGGTTCTCTATATTGATCTTGAGTGCCTGCTTGCACTTGCAGTGGGCGATGTGGAGGAGCAGACATGGGACGAGGTCGTCCTGGGGTGTGAGACAGCGGTGCTGGTCGCGTTCTGGGCGCCATGGTGCGGCCCCTGCCGCCTGATGCACCCCATCATCGCAGACCTGGCCAAGGCCTATGCCGGCAAGCTGAGATGTCTGAGGGTGAACACGGACGAGAACCAGGAGGTGGCCTCGAGGTATGGCATCAGGAGCATCCCCACCATCCTCATCTTCAAGGACGGCGAGAGAAAGGAAACAGTTATCGGTGCCATTGCAGACACGGCATTGGCCGCCACAGTCGACAGGTTCTTGTGAGCCTACAGTGGCATGCTGTAACATAGTACATGCTGATCCGAGTGAACAGATTTTGCAACGAGCCTAGGATTCTACTAGCTCTGCTTCCATGATTTTTTTGTGAAATCGGACTGAGTTTTCGTGCACACGGGAATAATTTGCTGTCATCGCTTCTGATTTGATGATAATCAAACCTGCAAGAGGATGACCAGTTTTAATGGCGACTATTATTGGTTGGGCCATATGTATGTTGCTTTCTTGTATATCTGACGGTCACATTTTTCTCGACGATATCTGATGGTGACTGTATCTAGTGCTGCAAGTCAAATCATATATATCTCTACTATTAAAGGGGAATCTGCCGTCGTCGTGATGGTTCAACCAGCCCTCGCCTGTCTCCCCGAGCAAAAAAAATCGCAGAAAAAATCCCATGTTCGAGGCCAGGGAAAAACCGAAACGACCCGCACGTCTCCACTTCTTCCCCCGCCTGTCTCCATCCCTAGATCTCTCTCCCGAACGAATGCCTCCCCACCCCCTCCCTCGCGATCACCCCAACGCCTCCCCATCGAAGGACGCCCTCTCCCCGTCCCTCTCCATCGGACACCCCTCTCTCCGGCGACCACGGCCGCCTCCCTCTATCCCATTAATTTTTTGCCGCCCCACCCTTGACCTTGTGCCACCGACAGCGCACCTGGATGGGGTGGTAAGACCACAGACCAATGCGACGGCAGGGTAGGGGTCATGGTGGTCCGAAGCTCCGAGCCACGGGGGTGGAGGTGGCGACGAATGTCTAGGAGGAGGAGAGGTGCGCGAGCTGCGGCTGTAGAGGCGGCGACAAAGAAAAGGAGGAGAAGGAGAGGTACACGAGCTAGATCGGTGGAGGCAGTGGGGGAGGTCGAGGAGGAGGGGAGGGTGCTCGTTGGAATTCCCAGCTCGTGGAAACGGACGAAGGAGCACACTATGGTCCCTCACCGTATCAACGCCTCCAACCCATCCATGACTGCTCTGAAGATTTCCAAGGCCAAAGCAGGTATCACCTAGCCTGTTCATTTGTAATTTGGAGAACAATCAGAGATGTTTGTGTCCTTATCGTCAGTTCAGTTGACTTCCTTTAGCGTCAGAGCGTAAACCAATTCAGCTGGCACTGGGCAGTTTTGGATATCTTTATTTCCTTGGTTTTTGACATGCTGCCGCCGGCCAGAACGAAGCTAGGAAGGCGAACTAGCAGACGATGGTTGCAGGGAACAAGAGGATGGAGCCTCGTGCTAAGAACAGAGGCGTATCAAAGAATAAGTTGTTGGAATACAGGAAAATGAAGGTCGTGAGACTACTTGACTTGAATGGCCTGGGTGTGTCAAGAGCTTACATGCTTGATACACAGTAGATGATAGAACTAAAATAGAAGAAGTGGGAGAAGGGGGGCCGCACCACATGGTTGGGATGGTGAACTTATCTCCTAACATCATTTATTTAATTTAATTTGCTGTCCTGCTATCTTTTGCTCAACTGGTTGGAATATTCGAACATAATTTCAACTTGGTATGTTGATTTTCATGATAATTACCCAGTTGTTTGTTAGTGATCTTTATGGTTGTGTTCCTTCTTATCTTGCTAATGGGAAAATTAAGAAATGTGACCTGATTACAATATTGTGACCTTTATTCAGTGTCTGCTACGGCTCTAATCTCATCCGCATTTATGTTGCGGTACAACTTTTTGTACTTAGATTGACCTCCGACGACTGTGTCTCGCTGGCCTTTGAGGCTGTGTTCCTTTTTTTTAGGATGTCTTCCTTGTAAGCTAGAGAATGGGAAAACTATGGAACTTTACGATACTATTTTTACCTGATTGCACTCTTTATTCAATAATGGATAATGGATGTTTAGTTTACGCTGAACTTGAAGACTCTCTTCCATCAAGTCTTCCTCTACATGTGGAACCTTGCTAGTGTAGGAATCAATAAAGGTTGGGGCAGCCAGCATTCTGTATGTGCGCGTCTTGCCGGGAGGATCCAATTGATTGTCTCCTTGAGCAGTTGAGCTAGAAAGCAATCGGCAAGTTGACGGCTGCATCGACCTTGTACCAACAATTCTATTCCTTATCATATACTAGGTAGACACACACTTCTTGGTGCAATTCTGAAATTATGCAAGCAGAAGAGTCGATTATGTGTATTGAATATGCAATCCTAGCTAGGATTTACCTGCACATGGAAAGATTGAATGTGTTGTTCAGTATGAATAACAAATTTACCTGCTATACGAAATTAGATGTCATTTTGTGAAAAAGAGAACAGGCCACTTGCAGTTTTTCTGCCTTGATATCTTGTCATTTTATATGTTCTCAACCAAAAGAAAATTTCCAAGTGGTTACCGACAGTTAAGTGTCAGAATTGTGTCACTGCAGATTGTTAACTATCAATGATTAACAGTGAGGAGGGTGGACATTGGGGAGTTGATCCTGATGGCGTACATGGTCCTAAATAGATGCTTTATCATTTTGAGAAACAAGGTGCTTTGTTCATCTAATGGCTTCTGACATATTGTTCTGCCATTGGTACCGTCCACAGCTCCAAGTCATGCAGTTTTATTGTATAATCCTGAACCTGAAGTCATTGAACATGTATCTTTACTGCTTTTTCTTGATTTGATCATGAGAATTGGTAATTGTACAACCTTTGCTGTATTTGCTTGACTTGCCTTGGTTGGTTAACCAGTGAGCTATGGAAATACCCGGTTGTTAAATCTTAAAATTATCATATGATGAATCCATTACATGGTCTTCTATCTGCCCGGGGATATGAGCCAATGAGTGCTTGTTGTTCAAGAGGTGATCTTTACAGATATTTTTTTTTACATTATTTGTCATCTGGGAATTCTTCATTTTGTAGTATGAAATGGCTAATGAATTTGCTAGGGAATCATATGTCCTATATCACGAGCTTAAATGAATAGTTGTGTTTGTTATCTGAAAATGTTCAGGTTTTGCTAAATAAATAAACATAATGCAGTAGATTGATCAAAATCGTTCAAACATATATGAAACAAAGGTATTTGATAAAAGGTGCATCAATTATTTGAAGCCTTCACTTGACAAATTTTTTTCAAAGCATGTTTTTTCTAGCTTCACCTTCACTTGATATTCATGTGTACCTTTGGTGAAGACAATTTGGATGACCAGACTTCCACAAGCTAGAATAACCTAAAATGTTTTAGAAAAATGTATGAGCCGCCAACCTATATCCCAGTATGCACAATCTTTATGTAGGTATTTGTACCAACATGGTCATAGGCCACATCTTACACTCATGTTCGTGAATTACAGTGATGTTTTCACATCATATCTATATATAAATTTGTTGTTCCGTGGCAATGCACGGGCATTCAGCTAGTTCATATGTAATGGGCAATTCTAGTTCTTTGCTCTTCAATGCCCGAGGGCCCCTTTGATTTAAAGTTTCCTTTTTGTGCATACGAATCTTTCATAAGAACTTTTAACCGCATCATGCGATTCTTTTACATAATTAATTCAATCGTGCAGAATTAATTATTGTCATCATGTGGTTTGTCTATTCTTGCATTTTCAATTTTCAAAATCTGCAAATCGAAGACGGCCCAAAGTTTTGTGGCTCCAATTGTAGGGATTAGATGGAATGCTACTAGCACTATTGTGCTGCTTAAGATTTACTCCCTCCTTTTTAGATCACTAAAGTACTGATCTAAAAGGTCTTATCTCTAAGACGTCTTACATTTAGTAGAAGTCTTGTATTACTTTATGTAGGGAGTACTTGTATTGAAAATTTATAGAAAATTGCAATATGAATGTTCTGTTTGACAGATTTCCATATAAAAAAATACAGTTTTGTGCCTGAGAGAAAAAAATGATTTTCTAAAGCAGAAAAATTTGAGCACTAAATTTGTTGTTTTCACACATGGCACTAAGCATATCATTTTTTTCTCCACAAAATGTACATGTTCTCTTCCTGATCCTGTGACATTATTATTGTTTTGTTCAGGTGCACCTCTTAATTTCCTTGCTCCTTGGCTTTGGCATATATTCAGAATCACACAATTTACGTGCCAATTATAACAATCAAACAAACTGTCGGTCACTCATCATTCAACTAATTCCTAACATTATTGCAGAAGATTATGGTTGGATGGTTAGATGGATCGACACATGCCCACTCAGAACGGCATAGCAATTGTCTGCGGGGGGAGGGGGGGGGCACGTTGACATCGGTTAGTATATGTCGCGACTACTATGCATGGTATCGGCATCAATGGCGTCAATGTCATGACCTACTAATAAGGTTGGGTGTTGGTGTTCCACTGAAACACCAATTCCTTGCTGGGCGGCAGTGCACTCGCGGTGCTGCTTCCGTTGGCGACGATGAGGGGTGAGAGGCTGCCGCCGTCTCTATTCTACCGCTACGATATGAATCGAAGGATTGTGTAGCGGCGGCAATAGGATGTAAACCAGGTCTCGTTTAATCCCGTTTAAACCCACTAATCATCTAATAGTTAAAATATTTGTTTTTTTTCAGAGAAAAGGAACTATGAATGGAGCTAGCTAAAGTTAACTAAGCGGCACTTGTGAACCCACTTATTTGTCATTTACATCCCTAGGCGGAAAGGTCACGACATATATGAGTGTTCTCTTGGCGTGGTGGTGCTCCTTCGCTTTCTTCTTCCCTGGGGCTAGTACCATATGGCTTGATCATTGTTTTTGGCGGTTGATATGCTTGATCATTTTAATAGTACATGATGTGTTTTTATTTGTCAAGAAAGTCTTTTGACATATATTATCACTTTGGTAGTATGTGGTATGCTATATTTTGTTCATAAAATATGATAATTTCTGAAAACGATTCTACTGCGTTCCTAAATATTTGTTTTTCTAGAGATTTCAATAAATGACTACATACGGAGCAAAATGAGTGAATCTACACTCTAAAATATGTCTATATACATCCGTATGTGATAGTCCATTTGAAATTTTTAAAAAGACAAATATTTAAG